CTGCTGAAAAATCAGCCTCAGGGAAGAAATTTGTTAAGGTCCTTTCTCTTGAGCCTTCTGGAGAAAAGAGAGCTAGACTTCATTATAGTTCTTCTTCTCATGATCACTCTTTATGGCTGATCCTGATAGAGGTCAAATTGCATTACAATGAACTTTAATTAGACTGCAGAAGTACTTTTGGTGAAATAGAACTCGGTTGTACTAAACCTAGCCATTGACCAGAGCTTGCAAATATATATATATATATATATATATATATATATATATATATATATATATATATATATATATATATATAAATATGTGTGTGTGTGTGTGTGTGTGTGTGTGTGTATATATATATATGTGTGTGTGTGTGTGTGTGTGTGTATATATATATATATATATATATATATATATATATATATATATATATATATATATATATATATATATCTCCTTTTTTGATCATACAGCATTCTTATTGTAGTATGGTACTGTTTGTTGCAATGGAATTTGACCTTGATTGACAAAATCCTTCATCCCACACTGATACAGAAGCTTTGTTTTAATGTTAGATAATCCAAATAGAAACTGGCATGCTGCTGAGATTGTTCACATGAAAGATCAAAGCAGACAGGTTCCAATGTTCCTGCCAGGGAATTTTGTCCTTTACAAGCGCATAGGTAGACAAGTCTAGTCATCTGGCTCAGGATGCTGTGTCAGGCTAGTCAGATGGCATTGTGACCTTTCATTCAGTCAGATTCTTCCCTAATGGATTCACGGAAAACAGAAATGAACTTGGAAGGACAGCCTGCCTACCTAAAGTAGCTTTTCACCTGCCTTCTGTGCTGGCATTATCATACGAGAGTAACCCTTCTAACAGAGCCTGTGAAAAAGCTGACAAGGGGGAAATCCTAGTGGCCAGCACCTAAGAAATTGACAAAGTCCTATTAGGTAAGTGTATTGAGGGTAGACGGGGTTAAGAAGGGGCAATCCATTGTTAACAGGAAGTAAAATTAGCCTGTGCGTAACAAGTACAAACTTGGCCACCAGATATGCCTTCATTCAATGTCTATGGAATAAGGGGGTAGCCCAAAACAAAGAATCTGAGTACCAGGAAATTTTATGAGGTGATGTATACCTCACCAGCTCAACATTTCCTGAGTTTACACTCAGTACTTGTAGGATATTTTATTTCACTGATATTGGTACTCCAATGATAAAGACTGCGCCTTCTTGATACCTTTTCTTGGGAAACACAGAGCACATTCTGTATATGCATTGTTGGCAAGCTTTAAGAATTGCTAAGAATCACAGTTCTTAAGTTTGTACACAGGGTATTAAGTACATAGAAATCCTCTATCTCTACTTGGGAACCAACAAAAAGCTAAAAATGTCCATCAGTAGAAATTAGTTCCCAGGAATAACACTGAAAAATAATGTTTCCTTCGGATTGCTTGGGTTTACACATTGTTTTCAGGCTGACTTGCTGAAGTATATCTTGATAACTCTTTATGCTGTGTCTTGGATATCTGATTTCTGAAAGGCTGGAATCAGAGAATAACATTGAGGGGGGGGGCAACATTATGCCTTCCTGGCTAGAAGTACAAACCAATTAGATAATAATTGCTAGATAAGGTCATTAGTATCCATAAAAGACCTGGGACCAAAACAATAGTTGTTGTATCTATGATGCCCTTTTCTTTTACCCACTCTGGCTAAAGTGCCTTTTAACAAAATAGAGTTTGAAATGAGTCCTTTGTCAGTGACTTGGATGTAAGAAGCTGGTATAATTTTTCCTTTGATTGTGAGCTTCTCAAGGGCAGGAACTGTCTTTTCTTTTCACATTTGTATTCCCATCACTTAGCATAGTACTTGGCACATGGCAGGTGTTAAATAAATGCTTATTGATGGACTTTAAATACAACTTATGCCTTCTTTATGTGATCATAACTGAAGTTACAGCTGCACGGAAATATATGGAAAAGTAAAAAAAGCATTCATTATCCAAATGTTTTATGTACATGATGCTAAATAAAACATACTAGTAATTGACTGAACATGTCACTTTCTACCCAGATGTTTTGACATTTTGAAGACAAGGCCTTAAATACCAGATTTCTGGATGGGAATGAAATTTCTTAGAAATGTCTTATACACAGGCAAATGTGAAATGATATAGTTGAAATTTTTAAAGATAAAAATTTAATTGGAAAAGTGTGTTAAGTTTTGCTTAAAAAATGCTGGGTGAAGAAATGAAGACCTTGGGAAAGTCATAACTTCATTGAGCTTCAGTTTCTCCTCTGAAAATAATGAACTAGATCAACAATTCTCAAACCCCTGGGCGTCCCTGAGACCCTTTAAGGGGGTCTGCAAGGTCAAAACCACTTTCATCATAACACTAAGGCATTTTAATTACTTAACAAATATCAATTCAAACAAGAGCTCTTTGGGAAAACCAGTAATTTTTAAGAGTCTAAAGGGGTCTTCAGACCCAAAATTTTGATAACCTCTGAACTAGATGATCTCTTGAAGGCAACGAGTGCTGTTTCATTATTGTCTTCTTTTCTCTAATAGCTATCACAGTACCTTTTATACTGCAAACACTTAATAACTGTTTAAATTGAATTAGCTAGACAGATTTTTCACTGTTTCTGAATTCTTTTTTCTGTGATTCAAGTTTATTTTTTAAATTGCCTTCGACCTTCTTTACAGATCTGATGTGATCTGATTTGGCAATAATGTCAAGATTAATCAAAAGTTTTAAACTTTTGGGACATGAACTTTACAGACACTGAAAAGTGTCTTGGAAACCACTTAAGAGGTCTGATTCTTGACCTTCTAAGATGAAACTTTGGCCTCATGGTAATTAACTTTTTCTGCCTAGCACCTTAAACAAATTCTTTCCATGATGAACAAAAACAAAAATTGTTACAAGAAATCAGTTGATCCATACTGTACTTAAATAAGCATGTGATTTAAAAAAAGAACAGAGAAAAACTACGATTTACTGTACAATTTCCCTCTCTCCATCAACATAATTTTCAATGTCTTCAACATGGCTAAGACATTCATGGCCTTCAAAAGCATGCCAAATATGTATCTTGTATAGCCAAGAAGAGAGCTTTAAGCCAAATCCCATGATATTAAATTTATAATAGGAAAATAAGCTTACAAAGCACAGAAAGAGCAAGGCTCAAAAAACAAAGACCATTTTTTTGTGAATGAATATCTTCTCTGAACAGCAACACAGTGCTGTTCAGAATGACATTCAGATTTTGGATACAACCGACTACCTTCTGGTGGCCATATTTGCAGTTATTTTCCCCTTCCTTATTGTTTTCACCTTTATTAATCCCCCAAATGCTAGCTTCTCTTTTCCTCTTTCCTTAGATCTTTCTTTCCTACATTCACACTTACACTCCTGCATCACACACTTACACTGACATACACCTTCCCTTCCTACTCCACTACAGACATAGCTTTTCAAGTCACACACACACACACACACACACACACACACACACACACACACAAAATACTCAGAGCCACAATCACCCACACCCTCTGCAGCTACAAACCATCATGACCACTCAGTTCATTACATAGCACAAATCTTTTTGGAGAATGGTCTTACAGCACGTTCAAGCTTAAATGATGAAATTTAAGATGGAAACTCTCATGATGGCTACTTCTACCACTAGCAACAGATCAAGGCTGGACCCAGTCTGCGTAATATAAGGAGGGTTTGGTAGGAGAAATTTCTGATAAGACCACAACCCTCCTCACCCCCTTCTGACCCAGTACCACCTGCATGATTATGTGTCCCTGGTTGTATATTTGTGGGCATACTTGTGATTAAGTATGAGAAAGATGTGAGTACCTTCTTGCCCCACTCCATCCCCTTTCCTCTAGATCTCCTGGAGACCATGACAGCCATGAGACCAAAGAGGTCACTGCTACTGGTTTTGAAGGCAAAGAAAGCAGCAACACTTGCAAAGGCTAAATCCTTGATGCTGGTACATGATGGTGCATGGCTAGTGGATGTATGGTACAAGGAAAGCCTCCAAAGGCTGAGGCTATGGATAGGGTTCATTTCTGAGGGCAAGATTAGGCTGCATGGGACAGTGTGGATCACAAGTTTTTCAGAGTATTTTCTGTTATGATTTCAATTTGTTAGGTTAAGGACAGCTGCAACCATAGGGTTGTTAGCTTGGGCTTGGTGGATTGGCGTAGGCAGCTGTTAGCCAGAGCAGGTGATGGGCAACAAAATCATATAAAAAGCTGTGGACACTGGAAGTGAGTGTGTGAGGGGAGGCTGGAGTAAGGTCAGCTAAGAGATGAGAACCTGGCTATGAAGGAATGGTTGAGTTTTTCTAACCCAAGGAACTGTCATTTTGAGGTGTCCCTGAGTCAATCACTGTCCAAGTTCACATCTGGATGTTTGCATGCCTCAGGAAAGAAAATGGAGCTGTCTGCTGCTTGGGTTCTCTCCTATTCCCACAACAGCAGGCTGCAGAAGCACTACTACCAGGATAATGGAAAAAATCATACCTTAGAAACTAAAACACAATCACCAACTTTGGTCACTGACTAGATATAAGATACTGGCACACTGCTAACCCTACAGAGATGGATGAAATTCAAACTGCCGAGAGACAGAGCTGTATCCTTGTCACTTTGATCTTCTTCCCTAAACTTTATTTTTGCATGGTAAATAATTTCACCTGGTTAGGCCCCTTCTTGATCTGAGGATGCCTCAAAAAAATTCCAAACTCAAAAATATCGTGATGTTTTTGGTTGATCAATGAACAGAGTGGGTAATGTTACTGAGAAAAATGAAAAGGACTGAGAAAATGTCAAGTTGGTCTTACTAATTAATAACAATAATAAGAGCTCCCATTTCTATAGCACTTTTAGGTTTTACAAAGCACTTTACATATATTATCTCACTTGATCCTCACAACAGCCCTGTGAGGTAGGTGCTGTTATTATCTCTCATTTACACATGAGCAAACTGAAGCTGAGAGGTTGAGAGATTTGCCCAGGGCCACACAGCTAGCATCAAAGGTAAGATCTGAACCCAAGATTTCCAGACTTCAAGTAGTTTTTGATCCACTGTACTGTGCTTTTCTCTACTTGGTTACTTATCATCTTTATTGCAAAGTAAATTATTAATAACTTACATATATAAGCAGTAAAGATAAGCATCTTGAGGAATCGAATAATAATATTTGTTATTAGGGAAATCAAAATTAAATAACCTTTTTTCTTGAACTGTTTCATCTTAGAATAATAAAAGTAGAAATAGATGCTCAGCACTAGTTCATTACTGTTTAATTTGTGTATCAATGGTTTAAATTATCAACTTGGGTTTCTTTAATTGACTCTTAAATGACTTTATTCTGGAGAAAAACATTTCCACAAAGAAAATACTCGGTGGGTATTGGTTAATAAATAAGCTTTTCTTGTCAGTCAAATAAATCACCATTATGTGTTCAGCAGTGTTTAATGAATGACACTTGTTTGCTTTTTTTTTTCTGAAGGAATTCTAGGGCAGATACTCAACCTGTGGACCATCACTTATTTCATGTTGTTCAATATAATAGGAATCTCTCCTGTGCCATTTTTTTTTAAAGGAAATGCATAGCCACAATTAACTATCTACAGTGAGGACATCTTCTTCCACTAAGGACAATTCTAGGGTATTATCATTGGTGCCAGCTTTCATCCTGAAATTGAAAGAACCATAGAGTTTTGCAGACTCTTTGGAAGAGGCAAACCTATTCCTCCTGTATAGCTCCCCCTTCCACATGGACATCATCAATAAACAGGACAGAACCACACCACCCAGAGTAAGGAGGCAGAGGCCAGCTATCACACAGCGATCCAGGTGAGCCCCAATTCTGGCACTCTCATTCTCCAAGCGTTCCATTTCCCGGGCTGCGATGGTATTGGGGTCCACAGTCACTTCCCTGGGGACCAAATAGGAGATGATCACCAACAAGATACCAGTGACCAAGAACAAGATGGCACTGATGAAGCCATAATCTGTTGACTTCCCTGAAGCAGTGGCTTCAGAGCCCATGTCGTCTTCTTCAGATATCAGGGACATGGCAGCCTCATGGGACCATTCATTTGGGTTCTCCCAGCCAGGACCTCTTTGGTGGCTACCATCCTTTGCTGTAGAAAAGCTGCCAGTACAATGTTCCAGGTTGACATTTTCATCAACATAGGTGAAGGAAGTTTCAAGTTCCTGGGCATAGCAGTGGCAGACCTTCTCTTCAGCCGTTATTGGCTCTTTTTCTAACTTGAGAGATGCTGACGGGTGGCCATCTGTCTGAACAATGTTATCTCTCTGAGGGAGGAAGTCAAATGTGGGAGGAGAGCTGGTCTCATTATCCTCTATAACCCTTTGTGTTGATTTGCAGTGTTTCTGGCAGCAGAGAACAGCTCTGGTTGCTGCTTCAGTCAACTTTATATCTCCTCTAACCTGCTGTTGGTCACAGGGAGGAGCCCCCAAATTCCAGTCCAGATTGTTGCACTGGTCCGCTTGCCCTCTCTTCTTAGCAAGGTGGTGGAGCTCCATGGGAGCTATTCAGATGTCCCCAAGCAGCCTCATATCGAAGACATCCTCTTGAAATCTCTGCCAATAATAACACAATTAGACAAGATCCCAACACGGAAGTTAAAGTTCTCTATTAAAAGTATTTATCCAAAGTGGACAGGAACATTCAGCAACTTTAGACTCATTTTTTTCCTAATGGGGTAAGAAAAGAAAAAAGATGGTAAAAAAGCAGAGAATGGGGTACAGACAAACCTTTAGAATTGGCACAGGGAGTGTAAGGTCAGGATAGGGAAGGGGAAAGAATAAAGCTGTAGTGTCCCTAGGAAAGGTACTACTGCCCCTAATTAAAATCTAGGTGCTCAGACACGTTTCTGCCATATTACAGAATTCCTCCAACAAGGCAGAACATATATTTCCTCTAAGCAAGGGTTCTTAACCTAGGGTCTGTAGACTTTTAAATATATGCACACACATACATATACATAACATGTGTAGATGACTTTCAATTTAATTGATTTTCTTAGCAATCCTATATTTTTTTATTTTATGTTTTTAAATATATTATTCTGGGAAGGGGTCCATAGGATTCATCAGACTGCCAAAGAGGTCCATGACACAAAAATGATTCAGAACCCCTGCTCTTGAAAAAAACAAACTGGGAAAGGTAGGGACGCTTATGAAGAAAGTAGCTGACACCCAATGGAGAAGAAGTGTAGAACAAGATGAAATGTTCATTGTTTATACCATCTGCAGTGCAGAACTGGTTTGGATTTTGATAAATGCAGTGTTGAATTATCTCTAGAGCACTTCCTTGAGTATGAATCAAATAGATATAATTTGTGTTACAAAGACTTTAGAAGTCCAGGAGGATCATAGAGATGGCTATAAAGCACAATGAGAGCCCAAATGTGAACTTACTCCTATTCTTAGCTGCTTTCCCAGACCTTACATCTGGTACATCAAATGACCCCGCATTACTGCTACACTTGCCCACAATTTCAAGCCTGCATCATTCTCCCTGCACTGACACTCTCTCCTGTGCTGCTGCATGGAGCTAGAGCACTTTCAACCACTGGGGAGTTACTGCTTCCTGACCTTCCACATTATCACAAAGCAATACACCCTACTATCTCTTCCACATAGCTACATATTAAAAACTGCTCATTACACCTCAAGAGTGAATCTGAGCAATTCTCTTTGTCAGTTAAAACGGAAAGACAGATCTCTGGATTAGATAGGAAAAGACTGTCCATCTCCCTCCTCTAAGCTGCCTTCCCACTAAAGAACTGCACACTACAAGAATTTCAAGCAACTTTTTCCTTGCTTTGGTTCTGATGCCAGGATAATAACTTATTTATCTCACAGCCTAAAGCATAGGATGCTTCAAAGTCAGTGACTCTGACAGCCAACAATCCAGAGAGGTAGGAGCAAAAGAATCACCTAATGCCAAGCAGTTAATCATTAATCAATCAGCAAACATTTATTAAGCACTTTTTATTCACCAGGTTAGTGCTATGCCCCAGGGATGTAAGTACAAAGAGTTTATATTCTCAACACAGGTTAAACTAAAGCATCACTTTTTAGTTCCATGTGAGTGATTTATTGAAGGTTTTTGTTGTTGTTGTTGTTTATTTTTTTTTTAAATACTGCTTCCCTAGTACAAGACTTTCTCCTCAATCCTCAAATGCACAAATCTTTCTCCGGGGAAGACTATAGCCAATCTGGAACCTTTATATTGTTTAACAAATGTCCAAACTGTGCATTTCAAGAAAACAAACGAATGAACGAATGGTAAGTAGTTTCATCCGTTACTTAAAAGAAAAAACCTTTCACAGTTCCTTATGCTATGAGGAACTGATCACCTTATGGCACAGATATCTTATTAAGCAGCAATGGTCTGGATTAAATAAAGTCGCTAAGATTGCCTCCAACAAAGGGACAGAGTTATACTTTACTTTCCTTTCTTCTCTCTCTCTCTCTCTCTCTCTCTCTCTCTCTCTCTAAAACAAAAACAAAAACAAAAACAACCAAAAAAAGAGAAAAAAAACCAGAAAAATCTTGCTTTATCTCTAATATAATAAAAGGACATCCAATCCATCAGTCTACTCCTTTTAAACTCAGTCATCTACACAGCTCCTTTCCTTCTATGGACAAGTGAATAATCCCCCTGGAGACGACCTAAGGGCTCTCTCCTTCCTTTCATTGTCATTCTCTCTCTCTCTCTCTCTCTCTCTCTCTCTCTCTCTCTCTCTCTCTCTCTCTCTCTCTCTCTCTCTCTCTCTCTCTCTCTCACACACACACACACACACACACACACACAGTCTGAATAAGAGCCTCACTAATGAAATTAAATCTCAAATGGGGAAGGAGACGTTTCCTGCACCCCCTCTGCCCTTGCCATTAATTAAAAGCAATATTGTTTCCGCGGTCCAAGGACGTCCGGTTGAGCTTCTTTAGGAAGCTATCCTGGGATCGGACCTCAATGCCTTTCTTAGGGGAGGAGGTTCGCTGGGCACCCAGAGGCAACGTGGGAGCTCTTCGCCTCTCCGGTGTCAATGTGCTAAAAATCTATTCCGGGCGTCCCCGGCGCCTCCACGACTGGAATAGCCCCCACTCCAGCTCCCTTTCTCCCCTGCACAAGCATCATCTTTCCTGCCCAGGCACCCTGAGTTGGGGCTGTCTCCATCCACTAAGTGCAAAAAGACATAGCAGGAGCCATGGGAAGGGAGAGGAGAAGCAAGCCCCGGCTGACCAGAGAGCCCTGGCTCCAGACGTTGCCTAGCTCTCTCTGTCCGCACCATCCCGTTGAACACTCCCTCCGTCCCCTCAATCTCTTTAAAAAAAAAAATTCTCTACCTACCCGGCTTCCTGAAACCAAGAGAGCCTACCTTCTTCTTCTTCTTCCTCCCCCCTCCCTGTGTCTTGAAGTCTTGGGGCTTCTCTGTCCTCCGCTGATTGCTGGAAGTCCTTCAATATAACCGGAGAAGGCACTTGTAGCCCTCCTGAGCTATTCTGCCCTCCCCAGTATGGGTTGTGCTGGGCTAGGCTGGGCTGGGCTCTTCATCTCTGCTGGGGATGCTGGGAGTTGTAGTTCAGTGGCCGCAGCCCTAGGGTTGGGAGGGCAACGCCCTTAATTAATCTTCATCCCACCCCTCCATCTCATCTTCTTTCTCCCTCTTAGTTTCCCAAAGCTTTTGCAGCTACAAGTCCTGAATTAAGCACTAGGTAGGGTGACTCAGCTCATGTTTCTTCTCCTAGAATCCTACATCCCCACTTAATGATAGCTGGCATTTATATAGTACTTACTGTATAATGGCTGACTACTACATACATATATATATAACTATAGTTTTCTAAGGTTTAGCAAAGTAGCTTATTTATTATCTCATTTGATCTTCACAACAACTTATTTCCCTCATTTTAGAGATGAGGAAACTGAGATTGAGAAAATTTAAATACGATACAATGGATTTTCAGTCAAAAGATCTGGATTCAACATATGTTTCTGACATTTATTACAGTGTGACCTTCCACATTTCGGTTAACCTCTCTGGGCCTCAGTTTCTTGATTTGTAAAGTAAAGAGGTTAATCAAGATGACATCATTAGAGGTCTGTAATTCTAAATCTATGGTCTTATGACTTTCCCAGGGTCACACAGGTGTCAGAGGTGTCATTCACTCACCTATGCAATACTGCAGCCATCCATTAATGACATACCATATTTCAAAGGTAGTCAAAGTCATGTCAATCCATGATAAAGAGAAGGAGGTTATACTGATTAATTTTTTTAAGTTATGAGATATATTTTGTTTGTTTGAATGAATGTATTTTAGAGATCAGTTTCTTCTAAAGATGATGAAACTGAGGTTAAATATAGAGGGCAGACACCATATTTTTTACGTTTCTTTGTATCCTCAGTGTTTAGCACAGTGTATAGGGAGAGCTTAATAAATGCTTATTGACTGACTATCTTTCTGTTGCAGCCAACAATTGGGGATTCAGCTACTAGGTTACCTACATATCAAGCTTCTGGTGCTTGGCACACACTAGGCAGTTGCTAAGTATTTGTGAAGCTGAATTGAATTTTGTTGGCCTACTGGAAGGAACCCTGGACTTGTTTGAAGATTTGAGAAGTAGTTCCTGCTCAGCTCTTACTATCAGTGTGATTTTGGGCAAGTTACTTCCCTTCTACAGACTCCAGTTTTCTCATCTGCATAATGAGAGAATTAGATTAGGTCTAAGGTCTTTTCCTTATAAAGAATTTCAAGGGTATTCATCCTCTCCACTTGAGTAGATGAATCTGTTACTAGTTACAAACTGCTTATATATAAAGTCTCTGTCTCACTTCTAATCCATGCTATGCACACTTATATTCATCTTGTTAAAAAATATTTTACATTGTGTAACCTGCCCGCTCAAAAACCTCCAATAACTGTCTGTCATGCATAAGTTTAAATTGGTACTTCTTGCATTGAACAGCATGTAGAAATTGTCCCAACCTCATCTCCACTAATATACTATCCAAAACGTTTGCTCCCCACAAGCTGGTTTACTCACTGTCTTCCCCCTCCCCAAATAGGACATGAGTTCTGCCTTTGCTCACACAGTTCCTATACTATTTCCTGAAATTTATCAGGAACCAGTTCGTGTACTAACTACTCCCCCCCATTCCAACCCATGTGATTTCTTCTTTCTTTAAACACTTATAATAATGTTTACAGATTACTTATGTTCATCATGCCAATCTAGTAATAGATACTGAATACTTGTTAAAAGAATGTATGATAAAAAGCAGGATGAAAGAAAAATGAGGATTTACATGATCAATAATGTTTCATCCCTGTATTCCGTTTCTATAGATTACTACAATAGTTGATCCTGATTGTATTGTAAAGTCTATCAATTTTAAGTTTTTCCCTGTAATACTAAATCCTCCCCTGGTGAACTCTCAGTAACAATGCAGATTGGATTGCAATCTTAATGAGCTGGTTAAAGCAGGGAAAGGTTAAGTGATCTGCCCAGAATCTTCTTGACTCCAAGCTCAGAATTCAATCCACTACATCATGAATATAATAATAATAATTGACATCTAGGTAGCACCTTAAAATTTACAAAGCACACAACAAAGCTGTGAGGTTGTGTTGTTATTATTATTATCTGTATTTTACAAATGAGAAAACTGAGGCTAACATACTCCCACAGGGTCACATAGCTAATAAGTGTCTGAGTCAGGATTCAAGTTGAAGTCTTCCTGACTCAAAGTAGAGCATTCTTTTCACTATGCCATAAAAGGGAATAGTTTTAAGGCCAGCACCCAATTCACCAAGCCAGTCTGCTTCTATTGGATTAAGCACATTACACAATGTCCTTCAAAGCTCTGCAAAAAGAGAACAAATGTAATAATCCGTGGATTGTGGCAGAGCGGAAAGAATCCGCTACTGTGACTTAGCCAGGCTCTGTCAGTGACTGTGTGATTTAAGCCAATCATCTAACCTGAGTGAACTTTGATTACTTCATCTTTAGAAGGAAATAATATCTATGATGCCTTCAGACAAAGAAAAATCCCATAATTTTATTTTGCTTTAAATAGTATTTTTTTTCCACAATTATAAATCAAAAAAATTTTAGCATTCATTTTTGCAAGATTTTGAATTCCAGACTTTTTCTACCTCCCTCCCTTCCCCTCTTCTGAAAATAGCAAGCAGTTTGATATAGTTTATATGTATGCTATCATGTAAAACATATTTCCATATTCATCAGAGTTATGGAAGAAGAAACAGATCAAAAGTAAAAAGAATGAGAAAGAATAAAGTAAGTAAAAATATGTGCTTCAATCTACATTTGGAGTTCATTAGTTCTTTATCTGGATATGGATAGCATTTTCCTTTGTGAGTCCTTTATGATCCTTGTGAGTCCAATGATCCTTAGATCATTGTGTTGCTGAGAAAAGCTGAATCATTCATAGTTGATCATCACATGATGTTGCTGATACTGCTTACAGTGTTTTCCTGGTTCTGTTCATTTTACTTTGCATCAGTTCACACAAGTCTTTCCAGGTGTTCCTTTACTCTGTGTATCTCTCTGCTTCACATATATTTCTTGCAAGCAACATATTGTAGGATACTGGGTTTTTATCTACTCTGCTCTCCTCTTCTGTTTTATGGGAGAGTTTATCCCATTCACATTCACTGTTATGATTACTACCTGTGTATTTCCCTACATCTTATTTTTCCTCCTGTTTATCCTCTCTCTCTTTTCATCCTTTCCCACATCACCACATTTTGCTTCTGTCTACCACCTCTCCTGATTTGTTCTCCCTTCTGTTAGCCCCCATCCCACCCCCTTTATTTAATCTCCTCCCCTCCTACTTCTCTATCTGGTAAGATAGATTTCTATATTCATCTGACTGTGTATATTATTTCCTCTTTGAGGCAATACTGATGAGAGTAAGATTCAAGCAATGCCCATCACCCTCTCCCACTTCCCCTCCACTGTAATATGTCTTTCTCACCTCCTTATTTGAGATAATTTACCACATTCTACCTTTCCCTTCCTTCTGTACCCATTTTACTCCTCTTTCTCATCTTTTTTTTTTGTCATTCTCTCAAATACACCTTATACTCGTACCTTCTCTCTAAGTTTATTCTTTCTCTCTGTACTGTTACTGATACAATTTTTAAGAGTTACAAGTATCATCTTCCCATGTAGGGAAATACACAGTTTAGCTCTATTGGATGCATTCTGTTTTCTTTTCCCTTTTTACCCATTTATGCTTCTCTTGATATTGGAGGTCAAATTTTTCATTTATTCTGGTCTTCTCCTTATGAAGGCTTGAAATCCTTCTATTTTGTTGAATGACCATTTTTCTCTTGATTTATTATGCTTTATTTTACTGGGTAACTGATTCTTGGTTGTAGTCCTAGCTCCTTTGTCCTCCAGAATATCATGTTTCATGAACTCCAGTCCTTTAATGTTGGAGCTGCCAAGTCCTGTGTGATCCTGATTGTGACTCCCCGCTATTTGAATTGCTTCTTTCTGGCCACTTGCAGTATTTTTGCCTTGATCTGATAGTTCTGAAATTTGGCTATAATGTTCCCTGAGATTTTTATTTTGAGTTCTCTTTTCTGAGATGGATTTTTTCAATGACTATTTTGCCCTCTGGTTCCAGGATATCAGGGCAGTTTTCCATGATAATTTCTTGAAAGATGCTGTCCAGGCCCTCCTTTTGATTATGGCTTTCAGATAGTCCAATGATTCTGATATTGTCTCTCCTGAATCTGTTTTCCAGGTTAGCTGTCTTTCCCATGAGGTTTTCTTGACATTTTCTTCTATTTTTTCATTCTTTTGAATTTGTTTGATTGATTCATGGTGTCTCATACAGGCATTAGCTTCCAGCTGCCCGATTCTGTCTTTTGAGATGTTGTTTTCCTCAATTAGCTTTTGCACTTTCTTTTCCATTTGGCCAATTGTATTCTTTAAGGAGTTGTTTTCTTCAGTGGATTTTTTTGTATCTCCTTTTCCATTTGGCCAATTTTACCTTTCAAGCAGCTTTTCAAGCTATTGAGTCTTTTTTCATAATTCTCTTGCATCACTCTCATTTCTTTTCCCCATTTTTCATCTACCTCTCTTACGTGAATTTTAAGCTTCTTTTTGAGCTCTTCCATGAGTTCTTTCTGGGCTTGAAATGACTTCCTGTTTTTCTTTGGTGTTTTGCCCAGAGGCGTTTTGACATTGCTGTCCTCTTCTGAGTTTGTTTTAGTCTTTCCTGTCACCACAATAACTTTCTGTAGTCAGATTCTTTTTTTTTTTTTCTGCTCATTCCCCTCCCTCGCCTTGTTTGGTCTTTTTCCTCTCCTTTCCTTTTAAATTTGAGCTCTGCTCCAAGGGTGGAAGGGGCACTGTCTCCAGCTTCTTGTGCTAGTGGCTATAGGCCTTGGCTGTTTACCTAGTGAAATTCTGATTGTTACCCTGAGGACCACAGGGGACCATTGTGTCTGGTCCTGTGCTG